CGTAAGTGCAGTCAGATCTTAATTTTAAAAGGCCGTAAGTGCAGTCTATACTTAATTTTAAAAGGCCGTAAGTGCACTAAAAAAACTGGTAAAAAGCCCTAACTGCAATTCTAAAATTCTAAAGCTAACTTGGAAGTGTAAAATTATGAAAAAATTTAAAAACCATTAATATTTCCAAAAATGTAAGACGATGGGCCAAACATGCCTTCTCATATTTTTCAATTGGACGATAAAAACCTGATAATGTGGTCATGAAAACACGATCAACCTTTTTAATTTGAATAATTCTTGACGAAAACTGTGAATGTACTCAGGTCATAAAACACAACGGTTATTCACATCGGCTGGTTTGGTGTGATAGTGGGGGTGGTAGCGTATAGTCAAAAAACAAGTACAACTAGCTGGCGATAATGGGTGTGGCTATCGCCGCTTTTGTTAGTACCCAAGTAATGCATGCCATGCGACATATTATTTTTCTCAGGTACTCGACGCGATCTCTACCAAACAATTTTAATGTGCTAACCACACCCTTTCGGGGCGTGGTTCTGTCGATAGTTAACAAGGGGATATTTATATTTATTAAGTTTGCAGTATACATCATTATTGTGTATATTACACCTAATGGACTAAAAATTCTCATGAAATTGTACCAAAAAGCATACTAAAACTTCATGACGGCAAAATTTTGCTGGGGTATGGTGCCACTTTTTACAGGCGGCAGTGGTGGACGATCATCTGGATGATTTCTGGAATGGTGTTAAGAATGTTTTTGCCGTCCGAATATTCATAAAGTTTAGATTTTCTTATTGTTTGTCAACGTTGGCACAAATTGCACTTCGCAACTATGTCAGGGTCTGACACTGAGGATGATTCGTCTGATTGCTCCTATCAAGGGACCACGGAGGACGAAGATAGTGACCCTATATTTTCCATTCAGGAGGTTGTACAAGCAGCGGGTGTTGACTTTGGTAAACTTGTGACACAAATTAATAACAAACAAATATATGTACATATAAATATATACTTTGCTCCGATTACAGGAAATTTTACCAATTTGGTAGAGTATGGAACCACGGAGTCGGAACAGGTAAAAATAATGAATGTTAATTTCGGAATGTTTATTTTGAAGATATTTGAAATTTGCACAGGCGTCTAAATAATTATATCAATTAAATATTTAGGCTCCACCAAACACACCGTGCACAACGCCACAAGCAGAAAATTCATGCAGTGGCACAGATGTAATAAACTTAATACATTTTTATCCGTTTCTATTATTTATTGTATAATTACATTTAACAATGTTGCATACATCGGCGTTTATGATTATATTATTACATTGCATTGTCGTATTTATAGGTTGAAAATTTGGATCCGGGGAACGTTTTCCACGGTGATCTGACATTGGGACGAAAAAGGTTAAGAAAACCAGACAAGCAAGGATGGACAGTCGAGCAACAAAAAATGCGAAGAATGAAGGGAGATGCATATTTAGGCGTTGTTAGAACAAAGAATAATTCCTCGACATCAGCGATTCGCAAGCAGAGACCTCCGAGATCAATCGGGCAGACTTGTGAATCAAGCAAATGCAAGAAGGGTCAAACCAGGCACTGCCAAAAATTCTCGGAATCTCGTCGGCTGTATTTATTTCACAACTTCTGGAAGGAAATGGACTGGGGTCAGAAGCGTGCTTATGTTATATCCCATGTGGACAAGATTTCGCCGAAGAGGGAGGTAAAGAAAGGGGGAGGGTCTCGCAGATCGAACACTTATATCTTCTATCTAAAATTGGATGGCGAGAAACATCAAGTTTGTAAAAGTATGTTTTTGAATACTTTGGGGATTCGAGAAAAGCAGTTGAGATGCTGGCTTAAAAATGACCAAGTTGATCGTACCACGAGGAGGAAAGGACCATACAACAATATAGGAATCGACAAATCTCAAACTGCTCGAGAATTCTTGGATCAAATGCCAAAACTGCCTTCTCATTATTGCCGTAAATCCACTGCAAAATTGTATCTCGAACCTATTTTCACGTCCAAGAGTCAGCTTTACTCAGAATATTCAGCCCATACCAAACATCGCGAAAAACAAGTCGTATCAATGCCAAAATTTATTTCCATCTTGCACGATATGAGTATTGGATTATACAAGCCGAAGAAGGACAAATGTGATACATGTTGTGCTTATGAAGTATGAAATATAAGTGGCGAAGTGTGGAAAAGTCATCTACAGAAAAAGGACGATGCACGCGACGCAAAGGCTACCGATAAACGAGGAGCCGCCGAGGGGAATTGTCATGTGTTGGTTATCGATGTTCAAGCGGTAAAAATCGCCCCACTCCTCAACGCCAGCGCATGCTATTACAAGACCAAGCTTGTTGTCCACAACTTCACCATTTACGACCTCAAAAGTAACAATGCGAGATGCTGTCTTTGGGATGAGTCAGAAGGCGAATTGGTCGCTTCAGTTTTCGCCACCTGCCTGGTTAAATACATTGAAGATAAATTCACAGACGGTCTCCCAATTGTAATTTATAGTGATGGATGTACAAACCAAAATAGGAATGCCATGATGTCGAACGCGTTATTGGATCTCTCAATTAAAATGAACATCAGCATTACACAAAAATTCTTAGAGAAGGGTCACACGCAAATGGAGGTTGATTCTGTGCACAGTGCCATAGAATGCAAATTGAAAAACAAGGTGATTTATTTACCAACAGACTACATCCAAGTTTGTCTAGATGCTAGGACAAGACCTTCTCCATACGAGGTCCTGTATTTGAACCACAGCTACTTCGTCAACTATTCTTGCAAAGACCTGCAGCGATACCTCAGCATTCGCCCTGGATCCAAAACCGGAGATCCATGTGTAACAGACATCCGCCAACTTAATTACAAACCAGATGGCACCATTGAGTACAAGCTGAACTACCGTTCTGTCTGGATGACGCTCCCAAGAAATCCCATACTTCTCCAAGAAACTTTTTTCCCTCAGCTGTATGACTCGAGATTAAAAATTCCAAAACGGAAATACGACGATCTCCAAGATCTACTGGACGTTATCCCACAACAATTTCATCAATTTTATATTAATCTACCTAATTAAACTTGGAAACATTTTCTACAGGGATTAAATAATCCATGAACTTGAATGAATATCATTTTTATTGCTTATTTTTACTGCTTATTTAAGTTATGATAATGATGAAAAACCCCCCTACTTTAATTCCCTGAAACGGTATTTACATACATCAAAAATGACATTGTAATATTGGAATTTGCAATAAAAATATTGTCAGTTAATCCAATAATCCTAAGTACGGTCAAATTAGGGGTACTCAAATTGAATAATATGGTTGTAATGTTTTTTTAACGACCGAACAAAATGACATATCACAAAGCGACAAAATCACATGCCAAAATAGCATGCGTTAATTAGTTCTTTAGCTTGAAGAATGCAAAATGAACCACAACAAAATTAATATACCAACTTGTCCAGCAGAGTAAATTGACATATTCCGGGGCGGGTTACCATTACATGGTTAACTATCCCCAGAACGGTTCTGGCAGAACCACGCCCCCAAAGGGTGTGGTTAGCACATTAAAATTGTTTGGTAGAGATCGCGTCGAGTACCTGAGAAAAATAATATGTCGCATGGCATGCATTACTTGGGTACTAACAAAAGCGGCGATAGCCACACCCATTATCGCCAGCTAGTTGTACTTGTTTTTTGACTATACGCTACCACCCCCACTATCACACCAAACCAGCCGATGTGAATAACCGTTGTGTTTTATGACCTGAGTACATTCACAGTTTTCGTCAAGAATTATTCAAATTAAAAAGGTTGATCGTGTTTTCATGACCACATTATCAGGTTTTTATCGTCCAATTGAAAAATATGAGAAGGCATGTTTGGCCCATCGTCTTACATTTTTGGAAATATTAATGGTTTTTAAATTTTTTCATAATTTTACACTTCCAAGTTAGCTTTAGAATTTTAGAATTGCAGTTAGGGCTTTTTACCAGTTTTTTTAGTGCACTTACGGCCTTTTAAAATTAAGTATAGACTGCACTTACGGCCTTTTAAAATTAAGATCCGACTGCACTTACGGCCTTTTAAAATTAAGATCTGACTGCACTTACGGCCTTTTAGAATTAGTACGACGATATCTTTATTTTCAACCAGTTACGATCTTTACGTAGTGCCTGGCGTGATATTATAAAGACGAAATTTCTACCATCTTCTTGCCTGATGCAAATTGGTACATGTATGAAAAAAGAGATAAGTTTCAATTGAGTCTTTGTCACGGAAATTGTCGAGAATCGAATCATTTCGGAAAGTTCGATTTAAAAAGTAGTGCATAAGAGGTTAAGCTATTTGACAAATGACAGCTTAGAATAAAATTAAGGGAATTGATATTACAATTTTATTTAAATGGTGGAGAACAAATAATTTCTAATATTGGCTTTTACTTGACGCGCTTTGCAAATATTTTTAAGGCAAGCTGTCATTTTAATTTACATAGAAAACGGATTTGTTGGAATTTATTGAAATTAACGGATGGGAATGGATTGATTTTTTATTCCATGGAATGGAATGGATTGTGTACTCCATGGAATGGATGGAATGGATTTTTTTTAAATAACGAATGGAATGGATGGAATGGTTTTTTTTTAAATAACGAATGGAATGGATGGAATTTTTTTATTGTTTATGAATAGGAATGGAATGGATGGATACTACTTAAACAAAATACTAAAGGCCGTCAAAACAAGTTTTCCCACTCACTTCAAAAACGTATAAATTGTAATTTGTAAACTGTATAAATTTGCAAAAGATATGAATCAAGAAATTCGGCATTCCTCTTCATCACGAACTAGTATGGGTGTTATCATTTGAGTGCCCGTAGAAGAAACTGTGCAATAAATTTAAAAAACCATATATATATATATGTATGTATGTAATTTATTGTAGTGTGTCATACCAAATTTGAAATTGGAAATTAAATTATGCTAACTGAATATTATAAATGTTTATGTAGTTATAGCCAAACTAACAAACGACGTAAGCTTTGAAATATGTGGAAATATTGATTAGCAGTTTTGGCAATACAAACATTATCCTTTATGATAAAAGTTTGCAAGTTTTTAAACGAAATTAAAAACAATGTTCTGAATTTATAACAAATTCTGTTCAAATTCTCAAAAGTCTACCCACTTATCCAACGGAATTGTCAACGTGGTTGCCCAACTAAAACCCTGCCTTGAAGCTTGACACTTATTAAACTGGATTGGCAGCTGATGGGCCTCTCTCAACCGAACTATCCCTTCCAACGTGGGGATGGTAAACTAAAAAATGTATACAATATATGTATCATAACTTCCATTGTATTTTTATTATGTTGACAAACCTCAGTATCACGAAATGTAAACGAATTGAATGTCTTCGTCAAAAGTAAGAAATCCCAATCCACCGGATATACTGCGGCCTCTCGATAGTAAAAGTCTGGGATGACACTTGATTGCACATCAATGGATTTGACACCTAGTCAATAAAATAATTAACCTATTAGCTCCATATTTAAAACTTAACTACATACACAAAAGAATCTGAAATTGCCCCACCTGAAAATTTCGCTAGGCTCTTTACCGCTTCTGAGCAAAACGTCCCCCACTCATAACACGACAACTGAAGCTTAACATGGAATTGATCCAGCTTATCCCAGCAGTTGGAAAGAGATTGAATTATCACCGCGTAATTCAATGACGCGGCCAAACGGTATTTTCCTTTGAAGGATACCGTCAATTTCTTCACATTCGGCCATAATACACCAAATCTATGAAAGGCTTCTGGGTCTCGCAAAAATTGAAGAGATAATTCCTCCACCGCTCTATTGTCAGGTTTTACCTTGGCCAAAATCTGGTCCATAGTTGTACTCCCTAATTCAGTTTCCACGAGGGAAATGTACTTCATTCTAGGTAAGATAATAGAATTCAAAGTTTCTCCAATCTTATCGAAACAGCCGAACCCAAGAATCTCTAAGCTTTCTAAATTGGGGAGCAATGGAAGTCGATAATCTGTTGCTGTGTCAGGTATCGATGATGGATTCCAGCCAAACGGTGTATCCTCTGGTCCCGCTCCAATAACTAAATGTCGAAGTGTTTTCTGCACTTGGAGAATCGTTCTAAGAAATTTCTTCTCTTCGAATGCGTCATCCTTACCAAAAATGTAAGAATACCCGCCCAAGCCATGGAGGCCAACAAGAGGTTTCTGAGTGATTAAGGAACCCACCAACTTTAAGGAATCCAGGGCACGGCAGTTTTCCAAATTCGGATAGAAATTATCCACAATCGAAACTTTTTGCAAGTTTGGGGCTGAAGCTAACATAGCGTTGAAGACGCCACGAAATGGAAACGTATTCGCTACAATGCAATTTACGAGTGGGTCCAGTTTGTAAGTTATACTTTTTATCGACGGTCGAACAGGGAGTGGATCGATTTCCATGCGGTATTCGTCATCGATTACGTGAAATACATCCTCCTCTACAGTCACACTGATGGATTTCAGACATGGAAATTCATTCCTGGTTAGTAACGCTGTCACGTATTTTTGACAGGTAGCCTTTTGTACGAAAAATTCTACCTGGGTAGTGAATTGATTAATATGGGTGGAGAAAAGGGATAGCATGGCAGCAATTTTATCAACGGGTAGATTGTGGGGTTTTCGAGCAGGCCAATAGTAGCTGTCATGCATGTTAATCCTTCGTGCTAATCTAGGATTGAAAGTGAAAACGGTTCCCGGATTTTCAACAAGCTCAGAACTTTTGGGAAGGAAAACGTCGTAAGGATCGAGAATGATTTGACGACCGATGCAAGAAGCGCCAATTTCAGACCATTCTTGTGACACGAAACGTACTAACTTGATTGTGTGGAGGTCCAACTTTGAAAATATTTTGTTCAAAATCTGAAAATATTTAGAATTTACAAACATTCCTCGTGTCAGTATGGGCGGAAATCTTTGGTAAATAAAATGACACTACTTACCACTTGATTTGAGAGGGGGGAGTCCATGGTAAAATTTATTTAACAAAAATTATTTCAACAGTTTTACACCAAAAATGTACTGTTCCTAAAATTAAAGTGGATATTTACGTGTGCCGTGTGTACCAAAAACTAACTTAAAAGTAAAAAAAAATGCGACTAAATTTTAGATTTTCCTAACAACGAAGTACTTCAGGCCAATGTACCAAGTTTAACAAAAGTTCCACTGTTAGTGGTATGTTTTAAATATTTTCAAGGGATTATTTCTATTTCCATTTGAACGATAATCCACCATACGGCTAATAAGATAATCAGAGAAAAGGTCGACAGCACCTTTTTTCATGGGCTGCTTATAAGTATATATTAACGCAACCACTTATTTATGAAAGTCTTGCCGATTTACAGCATGTATTCATTTAGTAGGAAAGAATAACTTTTGGAAAATGTAGCCTGTCTATAATTATCCTCCCGTATGCTTAGTGTTATACATATGTATGTGTTAAGATACTGGAAAAGTATAAAGGGTTATTCCTTAAGTGCTGGGCATCTTTAAAATGTTGGTGGATTCTTTGGATTTCAGGTCAATATAACGATCGCTACATACATTTCGTATACGGTTAAGAGAAGGGTATCGTTTATTACCAGAATGAAACAGTATTGGCCGGTCATTTGGCAGGAGAAAGTTATCCTCAGGAGAAGGATAAGGAAGTGGACTGATTTGGGTGTTAATAGAAAAAAACCCTTAAATTCCTAGCTCTTCAGCGTTTCTTAAATTAATATATGTATACATGTGAGATACACAAGTCTGGTTTATGTACAGCCTACACTCTACGAATCCTTAAGAAGGGTTTTGCTGACTTAGGACTAATTCGAACTTCTCCGTGTTAAAGATCTCTTGAATTTCAAGAGAATTAACTTGTGGGAATTTACAACAAAAATATGTATGTCAAAAAGATTCCTGACATGATCACGTGCAGCACATCAATCTATAATTTCCCTGATTTTATAAAACTAGTTAAAAAATAAGCAAAAGTAATTTCCATCCACCTATATACATAAGTGATTTACAGCAATATAATTTTGATCGTACTTAAAATTGTGTGTAAGTTCTGTAAATTGTGTAAATTTTAACGAAATATAATTATTGGTTAAGTTTAAATTAACTAGGGATACTACCGAGGTGCCGGTCGAACCCAGGGTTCCTACCTATACCAAAATATGCATAATGCATGACTTATTTGGTGAACTGAAAGAATTTCCGTCTAAAACTCACTTTTCGTCAAATTGTGACGATGTTTGTGACGAGCGGTTGACCATCGAGTGCAATGGGGAGATTGATTGATTGAATGTTTTATTCGAGTGACAAAAAAGTATAACATGGGTTCACGTTGTTTCCAACATTTAGTCACACTAGCTATTTAAAATATTGTAAAATTGAATAATATATCAATAATTAAAATTAACAAGTAAGTCCTATTCTAATATTTCCATTCGTAATGTGCCTTCATATTAATATTGTATTCTTTGACAAACAATTCGAGTTTTACAGTATTCATGATTGTTATTCCGATGTTTGAGTAGCAGACGTCGAAGTTGTAAATCAAAGTGAGCATAATTTTCAAGTTCCAGTAGTTAATGAGGCAAATGGTTCCATGCATTGATAAATTGGTAGCTGAATGACGCTTTACCAAATTCAGTGTTCATTCTGGGTAGGTCAAAGTTGCTCTAGCTTCTTAGAGACTTCTGTTTGGGTGTCTTTCTGAAGAATTTGGAGAAGCTCAGTGAGAGAGTTGAAGAATTCCACACGTTTTTGTACATAAATCTTAATGAGAATAGCTCATATCTTTCTGCTACCGTTAACCAATTCAATTTTTCTAATACATTGTGAAATTGGGTAAATGACAATTTTTGATTAAGTACAAATAGTGACCCTGCTCTAAAAATGATTCTATCAAGTCGATCATATTTTGATTTGGGAAGATTACCCCATACAGAGAGACAATAGTCAGATAGTGAAATAATAAGTGATGTACAAAATATCTGTCTCCATTTAAAATCAAATAGTCTTTTGTATCTATTAAGTAGGTAAGTCCGTCGTGTCATGAGTTGGCATACGTTATTAAATTGGTCGTTATAACTAAGCTTATTATCTAATATTATACCTAGATATTTAAACTTATCGACGCATTCAATTTTCTCATTTCGCAGGTGTAGTGTTATGTCCGCTTTTGTGCGGGTCCCGGGTGGGCTGAATACCATGAATTTTGTTTTTAATGTATTTATGACCATGCCATTTTCTTCAGCCCAAAGATAAAGTCTGTCGAGATCCGCCTGCATTTGTACTTGGGCTTCCTTCAAGTTTTTGTGGCTGGTCCTCATGGATTGGTCGTCACAAAAAAGAATGCTCTGGGAGTTGGGTAGTTTTTCAGGAAGGTCATCAAGGTACAGGGAGAAAAAAAGCCCTGAGAGGGAACTTCCTTGGGCTGTTCCAGAGGTCAGGAGGAAGGAGTCCGAGGAGATGACGTCTTTTTTGGCGATGATGTACCTCTCAACGAAGTATGACTTGAAAAATTGTAGTAGCTGTCCAGTAATCCCAATTTCTTCAAGCTTTTTTATCATGATCTCATGGCTAATGAAATCAAAGGCAGCTTTAAAGTCTACATATGTGACAATGGAGAATTGTTTATTGTCGGCGGCGTGACGTATCGACTCTGTCAACAGCAATGTAGCGCTGGTAGTTGATCGGCATCGGCGATAGCCATGTTGCTGGTCGTTCATCTTTCCATGGTTGTCGAGAAACAGTACAAGTTGGTTATAGATTGCTTTTTCCAAAATTTTGGCAATTGTTGACAGAATGGAGATGGGGCGATAACTGTCAATGGATGATTTGCTTCCTTTCCCTTTATACAGTGGAACGATGAGAGTTTTTTTAAGGATCGTTGGCATTTGTCCTTCCTCCAGTAATTTATTGAAGATATCGGTCAGAATTGGGACAAGTATTTCGTGGTTGGATTTGATAATCTCGGCTGGTATGTTGTCATATCCCATCGGTTTAGAAGTTTCCAGCTCCTTAATTACTTGTGTGACCTCGTTTATGCTTAACGTAATTTGGTCAATCGTTTGCTCTTCATCGCAAGGTTTTGAATGAAATTGGTGATTTTGAATGTTTATAATTGTTGGTTGAGAATTTTTAAGAAATGACTGGCACATTATGTTGAGTTTACTTTTTGCATCGGTTACAGTTCTTCCGTCAAGTTTCAAGTCTGGGATACGTTCATCTTTCTTGAGTTTTCCGATTTCATTGTTGAATATTTTCCAGCATGTTTTGGAATCACAATTGCTTTCTCCCACTTTTTTACGTATTTGTGCAGCTTTCAAACGAGTTTTAAGGTGTGAGACTTTGTTGCGTAATTGTTTGAATTGTGCATATTCATTGCTGTTTTTGGATTGGAGTGCACTCTTTCGTGATTTCGTAAGTTGGATATTTAGATCAGAATATTCTTTTGTCATCCAGAAAGGTCTGTTTGCTTTAACTCTCATCTTCGTTAGTGGTGCATGTGTGTCAAGAATAAATGTTAGTATTTTATAAAACATGTCATATTTTTGCAATCCTGTAGTGCAGTAGTCAAGTATCCACCATGGCGCAGTTTTTATCATGTTGGAGATGGCTTCCGGTTGGGCTTTTTTAAAGGAGCGAATCAGCACATATTTTGTTGGACATCGCATTGTCCTTCCTTTCTTGCGAATGGTGTAGATGACTTCATGGTCGCTGATGACATCGGGTAGTACCCCACTGTGCCGATTTAATATGAGCTTATTTGTCACAATCAGATCAATCAGGGTTTGAGTATTCTCTGTAATGCGGGTGGGAAGTTTTATTAACTGGTTGAAGTTGAGCTGTGCTAGCATTTGTTTGAAGCTAATTACTGATGCATCATTGGATAATTGGTCGTGAGGTTGGTTGAGGTTTAAGGTTGAAGTCTCCAATGAGATAAGATTCCATTGATTGACACTGGATAAGGTGGTTCTCGAGCTCCTTTTCGAAACACTTTTTGGCAGTTGGGGCACGATAAAGTAGGGTAAGGTTAATTGGTGGAAGATATTGTTTGTTTATAGTGACATTCAAATATTCAGTTGGAATTGTGAACGTAGATTTGCATTCGATGATGTCAAATGTGTCCTTAACGTAGAGTAGAAGTCCACCTCCTCGTTCTTTCCATTTTTTTACGTCGGGTCTATCTTTGCGGACAATCTGATAGCCAGGAATGTGGAATTCGTCGTCGTTATGCATATCAGTCATAAGCCATGTTTCTGTGACTCCAAATATATCGAAGGAGTGTTGAAGAATGATGCTTTTTAGATCATCTTTTTTGTTTTTGGAGCACAGGTCGCGAACATTGGCATGTCCAATTTTAAAGCCTTTGGGAAGAACGAGTGGGGCGTAGTTTTGACTTGCAGATTGAGTTGTAGACGAAGTTGAAGATGCACTGCAGTCCCAGCATTGAAACTGTGAATGCTCTCCTTATTCGAATATATTACTAAATACCCGAAATACCCGGTCTCACAATTACCGCTACCTTCCCGTTAAGATGACAATGATGATGACCCGTGGATGATGAGGATGATGATGTAAATGCTGGAGTATGCTGGTGGGAGGCGACGACAAATAATGAGCCCGGAGGAGGACAACAAGTTCTTCTTCCGAGGTCCGCTTTATTACGACTGACTCACTAACACACTAACAACTACATTATAAAGTGACTGATGGATTTGGTGGACGTGGCTCGTGTCACGTACACACTTCTCTACCAAGTATACTATGGGTGGAGTAAGTGGCGTGCTATCTCTCTCGTTACAGCATGTCCAAGGACGAAGTTTCAGGTCAATTAGAGGGTAATGTTTTAATATACATGTTGTATGATAGAAGTTGGGACATTGGTCACATTGGATTGTTTTTTTCCGTCGGTCAGTTTTGTTGCAGATTTTACAGACTGCATTACAAACTGAACATTTCCAATCCGGATTCACTTTGAGGGAATGGAACTCTTTGTAGGAAATGTTACCATCTAGGCAGAACTTGTGGGAGTGGCGGTCGCATTTTGTGCATTTTATCATTAGCTGATTTGCTTTTTGTGGCTGAGAGCATTTGTAACATGTGGGGCCCGGATTGATTAGGTTAGTGCCGCATAGCAATAGATAGAGAAGTAATTGTCGTCGAGACCTTCGATACGTGAAGGTCAAGGTAAGTTTTCTACACTTATGACGAGATTGTAGTTGTGCTGAACCAACATAGTTCCACTTTTCTGTTATCACTATTCTGAGTAATGTGGAATTTGTGTAGTTTGGACTCACTATCACGTTATGTAGATGATCCAGTGAAGTTGGGTTCGTGCACCTCTGTTTATGAATATTTAATTCACTAGATATTTTCCGTGTTTCTGGTTTTCGATTGAATTTGCACTTATCTTGCGGTTTCGAATCTGGAGAGTTAGCTTGTTGTGTAGCGGAATCAACTGGGAGTATTTCGATATAAAACTTTACGAAATACAAGTAAAAACAACTCAGTAAAAATATAATATATAGAGAGCGATAAAACTGTGTGTCTGCCATGACTCAGCCCAGGACTCCTCTCTCTCCTCTCCGGAGAGATCGACTCCGCTCATCCTCTCCGTTTGTTTACACTGCCCTGTTGATGAAAAAATCCATGCTCAAAATCCCACCAATATTTTTGTCTATTTTTTAAACAACTGATTTTTTCACCAGTTTTTCTCAAAATTTCAAAAAATTTTAAATTTCAGAATTTGTGTTAAAAATTTCAAAAATTTCTCAAAAATTTTCAAAATTTCGTAACTTGAAACTTTTTGAAAAATTAAAAAAAAACGAATTTTTTAAATTTTGAGAAAATTTTGAAATTTGGTAGGGTTCCTAGTAAGTGGATTTGATAGTGAAGTGAAAATGAATGTGTATTCAGTAATGGTCGAAAAAAATTCAGTTGAAAAAAATTAGCAATGTTTCACTGCCCTAAAGAAGTCCGAGTTGGTTCACTTATTTCCGGCATTTTTAGTATGTGCTAAAAGTAATTATGTAAAATATTTATATATTTTTTATTATGTATTTTTAGAGCTGTGTTGTGCAGTCCTGTGCCAACCCAACCCATCCTTCTTACATTTTGAGAAACCGGCGGAGAAACTATTCAGGATAATAATTAGACCATGAAACTTGTAATGAAAATGTAGTGCGCAAATGAGAAAAACAAGTAGTACGGAATTAAATCTTGTTTAAGACAGTATCAAGTTTATTTACGTACATTATCAATTTGTGCATACACACGGCTAGAAATGTTCAGCAGAGTATTGAATTTTGTAAAAATACATGTTTCAGTTTTCTGGACTGATTCCAACTCGTAATTGAAACAAACTTGTGATCGTGATTTTAATTTGCTAACTAACGAGGAAAACCTTTTTGGTGCCATGAGCTCCCAGCATAACCACTATATACATTCGACGTATTTTTTAATACTAGTCCGATGATGTGACAAAATTTACGTGTTAAAATGACATTTGGTCACGTGGTGACGACTTTTATGACGCGCGGAACGGTCACTTTCACCCATGATTTCAATAGCATAGGCAAACTTTTCACTGCACGCCCCTCGCTCATCTCGCTTCTGAAATCTCAACCCATTTACTCACAATCTGAAATTTTTAAAAAATGTCTGAAATTTCGAAAAAAAATTTTTGAACACAATCCTGAAATTTGGAAAATGCTACAATTTTTGAAAAAATTACAAAAATGTTTTTTTCAGAATTTCAAAATTTTTCAAAATTTCAGAAAAAATCAAAATTCAAAAAAATTTCTTAAAAATTCATAATTTGAAAGTTAAATTTTTGAATTTTAAGAATTTTTTTTAAATTTTGATTTTTTCTGAAATTTTGAAAAATTTTGAAATTCTGAAAAAAAATTCTGTAATTTTTTCAAAAATTGTAGCATTTTCCAAATTTCAGGATTGTGTTCAAAAAATTTTTTTCGAAATTTCAGACATTTTTTAAAAATTTCAGATTGTGAGTAAATGGGTTCAGATTTCAGAAGCGAGATGAGCGAGGGGCGTGAGGTGAAAAGTATGCCTACGCTGCTAATAGCATGGGCGAAAGTGACCGTTCCGCGCGTCAGAAAAGTCGTCACCACGTGACCAAATGTCATTTTAACACGTAAATATTGTCACATCATTGGACTAGTATTAAAAAATACGTCCAATGTATATAGTGGTTATGCTGGGAGCTCATGGCACCAAAAAGGTTTTCCTCGTAAGCGATTTATGCATTTGATGGTGTGTAATTATGTATATATTTACCTAGATATTCTCTTGTTTAAGTAGGAATTACAAAAATGTGAGGAAATATTCCAATGGAAGTGATGACATTAACAAGAGCATCCTGCCGGAGCAGGTCTACAGTCCAACGTGGGCATTATGAAACCCAACCCGGTACATTTTCGGAGTCTCTGACAATGCCAAGCACATTGGGCGGACGCTTCGTTTATTGAAATAATTAATAAGATTCCAATGAAGAGAAGCAATGGGATTATATTCAGTTTTGCAAACATACTGAAATTTTTTTAATTTTTGCAGCGTTCTGGAAATCTGGAACGGGGATAATTTCAAAATATTTTATTATTTTTTTTACATTCGAAAAATGAAAATGTGAATCTTATTTTATTGGTGGAAAAATTGTAGTGAAATTTTTCAACCAAAAATTTTAACTTTTTCTGTATCTGTATTACTTGTTTGAGTCTATATTAAAAAATGAAATTTTTAATTTTTTGAGTTTTTCACGTTTCTGTGATTTTATGTATATCTGAATAAAATCGGTTGTCTCACAAATTTGCTACAAGTCTTTCTTGTGGGTGTCAGGATGTTAAACAGCAAGCCGTTAATTCATATATTTGTGGGAATATATGTATCATACATATATATATATATACATTATGTATGTAAAGTATGTATGCAAATAATGGATTATAATTTCTGTAAATGGTGACAACATATGTTCACATTCCAAAAGAAGTACGTATACATAGTTGAACTTCATAAAAAATGGAAAATTTTGGATGCTTTTCGTATGGAGAAATTATGTAGTATCCTTTTACTACATCCAAATAAAAGTGGATTGCTTTCCTGCAGTTGCTCGTTAAATCGTCAGATTTAGTGTGTCCTACAACATTAAATTTAGCTTAAAATCATTCAATAAAACCTTTGGATTTTTTAGAAAAGCTGGACGTATTTTTTGACAGAAAACATGGCCTTAATTTTAAGAGTTACTCGTACTATTAATTCATGTTACAATATGTACATACATATTTACATATGTATGTATGGGATCATTGGTTGCTAAATAGTCTTGACGAGAATATATACGGATGTCCGAATGGGTGAGGATGAGGGGGTTAATTTCATCTTTGATGCCACAGCAAAAAGTTTTTTATACAGGGTGTTAATAAAGTCCGATCCCATTTTTCCTGTAAAAAAGTGAAGGCTAGTATAAAAAAAAACTACCCGTGATACTTACAAAAAATGTTCGACATATTTACCTTAGTATTTGGTCTTGTTACCATTTACTTTAACCATGCCCTCAACTCTTTGTTTAAGGCTCTGTGCTAATTTTTCCAATGTGCCTCTGGAAATCGAATTCCATACATCTTGAACTTTTTTTTACTACCTCTTCCCTCGTTCGGGGTTGTGGCTCTTTGTATACATTTTCCTTAAGTATGGACCACTGGTTCTTCAGGGGATTCAAATCTGGGCCGTTAGCGGCCCACACCCCCTTGCTCCAGACCGTTGAAACTTGCGTCTTGATGAGACTCAAACTCGCTTTTGCTGTATGGGCTGTAGCACCATCCTGCATGAAAACTATTTTTCTTTCATTAGGAAATATTTCCTTGTTCCCCATGCTATCGAAATAGATAGGTAATATTTTTTCCATATAATGCTTTGCATTGACTGATTGGCCTTTTGGTATGATATGTAGAGGGGTCACGCAACGTGCACAAAATCCACCCGCTACCATAACTTTAAGCCCGAATTTTGGGATCGCTCTTGATGGTACATCCGATTTGTTTTCTGTCCTGTAACGAACATTTTGTTGGTTCAATTTTGGATATAGTTCAATAATAGATTCGTCAGTCCAAAGGATGTGACTGCGCAATTCTTCACCAAGTCTTTTTTCACTCAAATGGGCACTTTTCTGAAGGAGTTCTTCAAATTTCAGACGGTCATCGATATATTTTTGTGACATGAGAGGTTTTTTTGGTTAGTTTGTAAGCTGTGTGACCCCACTTCGTAGTTTTCACAAATTTTTGCACGGTCACACAGTTAATTTGCTTCTTCTTCTCTTTATAGCGTTTTGAGTCATTTAACTCCCTTGCTCAATTACGTAATGAACTACCGGTTTTCTTGCAAAGTCTGTTTTTAATCATTCTTTTTGTGGTAGGTGACACCATTCTGGGTCGCCCTGGTCGCTTTTTGTCGTGGACAAAATTTTTATTCTTCCATTTCCAAACAGTTCTGCGGCTGCAGCCCAATTTTTGCACAATTTCTGTAGGTTTAAGCCCCTGCTGATGCAATGTTTGTATCTCAACTCTAAGATGCTCATGACTTACACGTTTAGTTGTTCCTCCCATGGTAAAAATTCGAAATAAATAACTTCACTGGTTCAAAAGTTCCAGCTGAATTTGTAACAACCACGCTCCAAAAAATGCATGGGATCGGACTTTATTAACACCCTTTATAAACAACTTTGATTGACTTTGACCAATTCTTTATACATGAAGAGTTGGTCAATCAAAGTTTACATATGTTCATAAATAGTTTCCAAATTATTGCGAATAAGTTGATCTCTCGTTCATATCTACAAAAATAAATATGTACAAATCTGCAATAATCATGCATCCATGCAACTTCACAACTCTGGGTAAAACTCTGCTTAAAAGTTACGCAATGCCAACTGGTTTGTTGTGTTTGGTTGCAATTCGTGTTTCCCTGGAGATTCACCGACTTCACCTTGGATTACATTTCAACCTTGTTTACGTATGTATGTATTTATGCATTTACTCGTTCATACTGGAAACTGATATTCAACTTATATTCATGCAGTGCAAAAATATGACAAAAAATACTCCAGTCATTCCATATGTGCTGAATTGCCGGCTGAATACAGACTTATTTTTATTTATTTATTTAATTTGTCGCATAAAGTGATTAGTTATAATTATTCGTTTGTGAAATTTTTGAGATTCCAAAATACAGTGAAATGTCGGGTTTTATCCCAGTGCCACAAACTGAGGATGGCACGACGAAAGAACATGTTGCAACGGAGTGGTACGAATTTCGATTGGCGGATGGAACCTTAAAGTGGCCACAAGTCGTGGGAGGAATAATTGCTCTAATTCTGCTGGTCGGGTTGATTGTGTTGATTGCATTCTTAATTATTGGATTTATGGGTAAAATGTAAATTGTTGTAAATTTTACTTGATAATGTTCCTAAACCTGTTGTGTAATAGGTTTAGGTGCCAGTCGTTGGTTCCATGCGAATCTAATGGTGAGACTGAGACTTGTAGTAAAATATGTGCATAATTCAGGACCACCCCGATTCATCAAGACGGAGTCGCGACGGAGGCAACTTACCCTAGCGTATGGGGAACAAGGTCAGATTACCTGCACAGTAGATGCTCAACCTCCTGCGACCTGGACGTGGAAATGTGGTAAGGTCGAGATCAATAAGGATAATCCGTACAAAGCAAAACTCAAAGTTACCAATACGGAGAACGAGTCAACTCTTAAGGTACCCTTGCACATACAGATAAATATGTATTTTTAGCAAACTGTACAGCGAGATATGGAACTTTGCTTTGCAAATCCCTAAACCTAAATATTTTTTACGAATTCCTAAACCGAATTATTATTTTGGGCAAATTCCAAATAATGCCAATTTACGTGCAAGCCAAAGTTGGAATATATTCCCGAACTATTTCGAGGCGGTGGTTGCTCTTGCCAGCCCCGTAACGAGGTAACCACCCATCTCATAACCCTCCACACGAACGTCGCCCTGTTCTACCCGCCCGTCAAACTGCATCAGGCCACCTTCCGTGGCGACACGACCGTCCGACTGACCACGTATCGTGACGAGGATAAAGGACCAGCAGACACGGACAAGTGTTTCTTTGTCCAATACAAGATCTCCGATCCGGAGGTGGACGACGAGTGGAAATTTGCGGAGCGGATTTTGACCAATTTAGACTTTGACGTCAAGCGGTGCACGATTGAGAAATGGAAAGAGTGGAGGATTGACGGCTTCATTACTACGGATGTGTTTAACCATTTAAATGGTAAGTTCAAATTTTTGAGATACGTACGTACACTGTGTCAAAAAAAGTTCTTACAAAACCAATTTTCCAGTACCGTACATTTCCTAATATGATCATAATATTTAACCAAAACTGTGTGTTCCACTAGTAAGTCTAACCCCATTGACCTCATAGGATATAAAAATTGATTCAATAGAATGATAAAAGCAGAAGTATGTAATGAGCGAATTACTGCGATCGAGAGTAATGAACACAAACTTTTTTGACACATTTTACATTTACAAACACATCAAATATGTAGAGTCAGGAAACGTTTTTATCTGTTTTCTTACCACTAGTAATTAGCGTATTTAAATTAAATATTTATGTATATTGCATAAAATTTTAAGTTTGAGAATTTCTTGTAGTGGGATCCGCACATTTTGACCTGCACGGCCTGCAGCCTACTGCAGGGTACGATGTTCGGGCGATGGCCGTCAGCCTGGAGAATGGCAACGTTCCACATGTCAGGTTTAGTGATGGGACAAAACATCAGGTTTAATGATGGGATTCATTTCATGACCAAGGGAGCGGTACGTTTGACTTACATTAAGATTTATACTCATTCAACACTGACAAATCCTAATTGAAATGCTCATTTTTTTATGTATGCAGAAACAACTGAGCGACAATAACTGATGCCGTGATGAAATGAACAAAAATTTCGTGTGATTAAGTATGTATGGACACTTGGGTTTTTTAACTTGCATATCAATTTATTTTTAAGTTTCGACTTTCAGTATATGTAAATCTAGTTATGTAGAAATTTATCATGTCCTATTTTTAAGCTTGTGGAATAAAATTTTAAAATGTGTTGATATGTATGCTATCATCGAAACTAGTACTAGCACAAAACTGGTCCCGTTTTAGATGATTTTGTAAAAGGGATTTAGTTGAATACAAAACGTCTTGGCATTTTTTTCCATAAAGTAATTTTGCACTTTTTTGTGAATAATTTTGCACAATTTTGCACATAATTTTGTTCATTTTTCCAGATTCATTTTTCCAGATTTTCCTACTCATTTAACAAAAGGACATTAACAAAGGAGTTATTTACATATGCCATACATGTACAGATTTATATTACATTTTTGAAGGGTTATTTGATTATCACAACATTTTTGTTGAATCTATTGTTCATGTACGTTAATTAGATGAGCGGAAAGATTTAAAGAGTTTGGTATACATTTTGACTACATAACAAAGGCCAGTCACGCCCCAAAATCATAGAAAAAATATACAGCGAGTGACATATCTTCTTCTTATGGAAACAAATAATTTTCCCCTACCACAAAATGTTGGGTACAATCCACTTGCTGTCAATTAAATACTGGTGAACATTGCGTTGAAAACAAACACTGGGTTATTCGCTTATCATACCAATCAATTTTATTTCGTCTTCCTACTCCGTTCTACATCACGGAGTAGATGGTAGTCCTTGACTCCAGGTAGCCGGGAGGCACTAAATGCTGCCTATATTCAAAGCAGAAAAAAGGGGGTCCAGCAGCGGTAGGCACAGCCAGAACTCGTCATAGTTGATTTTTAGGCATGACGGGAGGAACAAGTGTGCTCTGCAGCCATTTTGTATTTCTGTGAAATCCAACAAAATTTTAGGAATTTTCAAGCAGTCCTCAGCGGAACGACAAGTAGAGGTAAGAAACTTTATTCACATATTTTTGGGGGGTTGGAGGTTAGATACAATAGTAAAAAAAAAAAAATTATTAAATCCGTAAATCTGAAAATATTTTTTCAATGCCTTTCGCTACCTCTACGAGGTAAACGGCAAGTGGTGACCTGTTAGGCCCACATTAATTAAATAATAATTGGGTACCTGGTATCATTTAATGAGCCAGCTTTTGTTGTGCCCTGGGTGACCATGTAATGGCGCTCATTGTATAAAAAGTACAAAGATTGTTCAATTAACAGATGAGTAAAGACCAGCAGAAGCTTATGAGGGCGTTCTCTTTCTCTGAATCAGAAGAGGATGATGATATAGAAAAGGACATCAATAAATTGTTAAATGATGAACAAGACTTAGCGCTGGGTAAATTTTGACATTACTTCTTTTAAATGAAAACCTCTAAAAATTAGAGTTATTACTAAATGTAATAAACATACAAATTAGATTCTGATGTGGAGAATATTTTGCAAGATATTGAACGATGCACGGATTTTGGCCCTGAATTACCACAAAATGTTGCTGATAGCTTTGTCAAAACAGTTGTACGCACACTGTCAAAAGAATCAAGAGCAAATTTGAAGGACAAACTCAAAATTCCAAGTAATTGCAAAGAATTCATTGCCCCAAAAGTCAATCAAGAAATATGGAGAATGCTTCCATCTCATGCTAAGCTCACAGACGTAAAAATCAGCAAGTTCAACAAGTTCTGAGTATGGGCTTGTCAAATCTTTCGGTGATTGCAAGTACGGTGATGAGTAACAAAGAAAAGCTACCCAAAGAATTGATGACGTCAATTTTACAAAATGCAATTAATGGTGCCAATGTTCTTGGTGATCAATTTCAATCTATAAGCAAAGAGCGGCGTTGGGACATAAAGAAATTTTTAAATCCCGAATATTCTGGAATTTGTTCAGCTCAGGTTTGTTGTATTTGCTAAGCAATTATTATATTTTAAGATATCAAACAAGTTTTACCACTCACACCCATATTGAAATATTAGATTCCACCATGCGAGTTGCTGTTTGGAACAGACCTAAATGAGAATTTGAAAGCGTCAAAGGCCACGTCAACCCTGATTAGAACTTCTACGTCTAACAAAAGTTATCGCTATCAGCCCTATGCTAATTCAGGACCCTCATTTATTCCTCGAGGAAATTTAAACGGGAATCGCCCGTTCCATCCACAATCGCGGGGGAGCGGGCAGTTTCGACCGAGATTCAACTCATCAGTTCCATTTCGACCCCGACAATACCAGTCCTTCAACCAGCCACGATTTCAGCGCAAGTAACTATTTCTTCGGTAGGTGCACATGCTGGCAGACTATATAATTATGTTAAGACTTGGAAGAAGATTACGAAGGATAAATTTATTTTGGAAGTAGTTAAGGGTTATAAACTTCCATTTAAAAGTACTCCTATTCAGTTGTCGGAACCATCCATTCCAATATTTAGTAATTCAGAAACTTTTTTAGTTAACGAAAGTGTTAAAAAATTATTAGAGACAGCGGCCATAGTTGAGTCAGTTGAGGAGTCGGGCCAGTTCGTGTCAAAAATCTTCACGGTTTCAAAACCAGATGGTTCGCGTAGGCCTATAATTAACTTAAAGAAATTAAACGAATTTATCGATTCTCCCCATTTTAAGATGGAGAGCATTAAAGTCGCTTGTACATTAGTAAATCGCAACTCTTTTATGGCCGTAATTGATTTGAAGGAGGCTTATCATGCCATCCCTATAGATAATGATCACCAAAAATTTCTCAAGTTTAGATGGAATGGGAAATTATATAAATATACTTGCCTTCCTTTTGGTTTGTCTGTAGCTCCTTTTTTAAATACTAAAATTACAAAACCAGTTTTAGCTTTTCTACGATCCAAAGGTTTTTTGTTGGTTGGATACTTGGACGATACGTTAGTGATTGGCAATACACTTACTCAATGTGCGGACAGAGTGAATGAAATAATTGCAATTTTTGATTCGCTTGGTTTTGTAGTAAATTTTGAGAAATCCCAGTTAGTCCCAGCACAAGAAATTAGATTTTTGGGTTTTATTCTGAATAGTGTCGAAATGAAATTAAGATTACAATTGGATAAAGTAGATAAAATTTTACAGAAGTGCAAAATTGTGCAAAAAATTAGGAACGTACAGATTCAAACTGTTGCTGAATTAATAGGAATGTTAATTGCTGCGACACCAGCAACTAAGTATGGCTTATTATATACAAGGCAGTTAGAAAGTGAGAAGACTGAAGCTCTTTTTCAAAATTCGGGTAACTATAAGAAAATCATGCATATTTCAGAAAAATCAGTTTCCGATTTGAGTTGGTGGATTTCTAAACTGGGCAGCGAATGGCAATATCTTCGCCCAAGGACTCCTCTTTTAACAATAACATCCGACGCGTCTCCCTCCGGATGGGGAGCAGAATGCAATTCAAACGAAGCGAGAGGAAATTGGTCAGAGGATCACTTAGGTTTACACATTAATGTTCTAGAACTATGGGCAGTTTTTTACGGGCTAAATACATTTGCCACTAGAAAAGATATGCATATAATGTTGAGAGTTGACAGTTCTACCGCAATGGGATATATTAATAAGCTAGGAGGATGCAAGTCATTTCAATGCCATGATGTAGCTAAATTGATCTGGAAGTGGTGCGAAGAGAGAGAAATAATTATAACAGCAACATACATAAATACCAAAGATAATTTTGTAGCAGATCGTCTGTCTCGGGCTAAGGTGGATGTATCAGATTTTATGCTAAGCATAATTTTATTTTGAGAAAACGTGCCTTAGTTTTGGTATTCCAGAAATCGATCTCTTTGCTACCTACCATACGAAACAATGCAGCAAATATTTTTCTTGGCGTCCAGATCCATATAGCTTTGGGGTTGATGCTTTTACTCAGAAATGGGACACGTTTTTCTATGCGTTTCCACCGTGTATATTAATTGGGAAAGTTTTGAACAAGATTATACAGGAGAGATGTGAAGGCATTGTGGTGGTGCCAAATTGGCCAACGCAGCCCTGGTTTCCATTGTATATGTATGAACCTGTTGAAATCAAAAATTGTAATTCATGGTCCTAACAAAAATCTATTATTTAATCTATTATTATCCCTATTCTAGTCAAAATCATTGTGTGAATCCCAAACTCTCAGTAATGGCAGGAGTATTATCGGGCAGGCGCTACAAAAACTAAACCTGTCACAATCAACATTAGAAATATTAAAGGCGTCCAAATCAGAGTCTACGTGGAGTCAATACGCGTCGGTCTACATAAAATGGTCTAATTATTGTTCGCAAAATAATTATTCAATGTGGGATGTTAACCTAAATCATTTGTTATGTTTTCTTACTAGTTTATTTGAGAGTGGGGTGGGATATTCCGCTATAAACACGGCAAGATCAGCTTTGTCATCATTGATAGGAAAAATTGATGGTTGCCCAATAGGAGAACATAAATTAATTGTAGATTTTATGAAAGGCGTTGGTAGGCTTCGCCCAGTAAGAGCAAGATACTCGGTAACATGGAATCCGGACAAAGTTTTAAATTATTTACGTACCATAAAGTTAGATGAATGTAGTTTAAAACAAATTGCTCTCAAGTTAATCGCTCTTATGGCACTGTCAACAGGTCAACGAGTATAGACGTTGTCATTAATTAAGTTAAGTAACATTGTATGGAACGAAACTGTTCAAATTATAGTTAAGGATCGTTTAAAAACAACAACAATGACTAAGAGTAATCCTGTGTTAATTTTACCGCCCTACCATGATAAGGAGCTATGTCCAATTGCTTCGTTAAGCAGATATATCGAATTGACAGCGGTGCTCAGGTCAGATAGCGATAGTTTATTTGTGGGGTTAGCTAAAGCTCACAAACCTGTGAATTCGCAAACAATTAGTAGATGGTTAGTTTCAGTTTTGAGGTTAGCAGGAATAGATTCTAATTTGTTTGGTGCACACAGTTACCGACATTCGTCTACCTCAAAAGCTTTTAAATTGGGGATTCAAGTGGACACAATATTAAAACGCGTGGGTTGGACACCAAATTCACAAACCTTTGCTAGATTTTACAATCGTCCTATTGATAATTCAGGAGATTTTGCTAGCGCAATTTTAAATACTAGTAATTAATTAT